CAGTGACTTAAGCTTCTGAGCCTCATTTTCTTTCTGTCATTTTTTTCTTTTCTTTTTTTCTTTATCTGTAAATGACTTTATTTCACTCTCATTCTTGAGAGATAGTTTTGTTAGGTACACAATTTTAGGTTGACATTTATTTTTCTCAACACTTTGAAGGTATGATTCCATTACCTCCTGGCCTAAATGATCACTAAATAAAAGTCAGTTGTCTTTCTAATTATTTATTTGCAGGTGATCTGTCCCTTACCCCCCTTTTTTAAAGCTACTTTTAAGGTTTTTTTTCACAACTGCATATACTGTGGTCAAGGGCATGGACTTTGAGCCTCCATTTTTCTATCTGTAAAATGGGGAATAGTGATAGCACTACAGGATTGTCAAGGGGAATAGCATTTAGTAAATCTCAGTGTATTTACTCTTTTATAACTAGGGTGACCGCATATCCTGGTTGCCTGGTACAGTTCTGGTTTATGCCTCTTATCCCAGCATGGTCTTCACTGAGTACCTTCTTCCACTAGTTTATTTGAAATATTCTTAAAGAGCTAAAACAAAGCTGTTTCTATTGGGACATCTTTTCAACAGGAAGAAAATTTTCCCTGACAAAAATGTTATTTTATGTAGAGCTGACACCTACTGAGCACTAGAGTAGTTGTTGATTTCCAGGAGGCGGATAGACAATGGGAGAACTTAGAGCTTGTGATGGAAGTGGGATCCGCGCTACCCAACCACCGCGTAGAATGTGGGTGTCTGTCAGGCATTGGGCTAGCTGAGTCCAGGAATCTATTTCTTCAGTCTGCAGTAGTTTGGGAGTCTTCCCAAACTAGAATCCCAGAATTATGTGAAACCATTGCAAAGACTCCTCTGAGCTATGACTATATCTTCTTATGTAATCACCTCAGATTTCATCTCTGCCTGCACGGTCCTCCTCCAGGCGCCGTTTCTCTGCTCCAGACAGCCTGCTCCTCATTGTGTGTAACCGAGTTTCTCCTGCAGAAATGCGTGGCCTTTGCTCCACAGCAGTTACAGAGCCAGGGTGGAACGCGCCGGCCTTGGTTGACGCTCAGACAGGTTTCATTTTTGTTCTTAATCTCTGTTCATTTTTTCTAGAGGATTCAGCCCAGTGTCTAAAGTTCAGAATGTATATAATGATTGGTACTGTTTAACAGTATACAATGGGACTTAATCATTTACTGCTCAAACAGGGCACAAAGTAAAAAAGCTTAATGAACTGGTAAAAGGTAGTATTTGGTGTCCTGGGGTAGAATGGAAAGAACGTTGACAGAACCACACATCTTGGACTATCCAAGCATGTTCCTGTTTTCTTTCTTTCTTTTTAAATTAAAGTATAGGTGCCATACAATGTTATATTAGTTTCAGGTGTACAACAGAGTGATCCGACACTTATATACCTTACAAAGTGATCACAAGTCTAGTAACCATCTGTCACTGTACAAAGTTATATTATTGACTGTTTTCTCTGTGCTGTACATGACATCCTTGTGACTTATTTATTTCATAACTGTTCCTCTCAATCCCCTCACCTTTCTTGTCCATCCCACCCCCCACTCCCACCTCACCCCCGGCAGCCATCAGTTCGTTCTCTGTATCTATGAGTGTTTCTGTGTTTGATTCCATACATAAGGGATATCACATGCTATTTGTCTTTCTTAGTAATGTGCCTTAGTAATGTGTCCCATATTCAACCTGTAGGGCTTAATGGCCTTAACACATTCTCCTTGTCCAGTTCACTTCTTTTAAAATGGACACCCTGTATCAGCTGTGTGCTAGACTGAGGGGCTGGGACTGCTCACCTCCATGCCGCTCATCTTGGACCTGTCGCAGGTTTAGTTCTTGACAATCTGAACTGCCCAGCCAGAGCCAGCCCTGTTGATACATTCTCTTCTCCTGAACCTGCGTGTGTGCAGTGACGTCAGTGGGATCCCACGGAGCTGTGTGCTCGGGGCCAAGGGATGTGATTTGGTGAGTGGCAGGACGCAGGGGTTGCGGCCTGGAGGGGATGAGTGGAGCCATGTTTCATATCACTGTGCTCTGAGTAACGTCAGGGTTTGGAGAATGTTTAATAAATGTCTCCCACTCTCCTAGTCTTTGATTGATTGTATTAAGGTGAACCTTGGGACACACGTTTCCATGGACTTAATGGGAAGTACTTTATCCTTTTCCCACAGGACTGGCCTGAGCTCAAGTCAAAATTGTTGGGCTGTGACCTGTTCCCATGAATGATCTTAGGATCCTGAACTCAAAAAGGGACCCTTCAGGGAAGCTGTAGGACAGATTCTGCTCTGCCCTCTTTGACCATACCTCGCACATACGTGTAGTGTGCAGTGCCTGCACACATACTGACGGTGCTTATTTATTGAATAGAATACTGTGACATGATTATCCCCAGGAGAAAGTGAATTGGACTTACTTGGTGGCTTTGGCTTACTTTCCCCTTCAGTTGGCTGGGTGGTTTTTCTTATTTAGACCTCCCAAATGGACGATAATGGAGAACCAGGAGCTTCAGATGAGAATGGATGGGAATTTTCAACATCTGAGTGGATCGCTATATCCCGCCAGAACTACCTTACCATGTAAGGTAGGAAGGAAGCTTGAGAATACGTGGCCCCAGCTTCTTAGCTCAGTAGCATGAGGACCACAGGGCAGGAGGCCAGAAGCTTAGGGGGATCCTTAGACATAATAGAAAAGGTAACTTGAAATTTCCATCAAGTTTTAAATCCTTAGCATTAGGGACTCTGCCCAAAGTTGAAACTGGAAGTCTGATTTTCAGATGCTCTTGATTAAAAAATAGAGGCTTACCCTTAGGGTGTTTGGGATTTGGGACCAGTGGTGCGTTGAACAGTTCCATTTTGGAATGCATGTTGAGTCCTGGAAGTAATAAACAACAGCTCTGCCCGGCCGTGTTGAGCAAACTTCTGATCCTTCTCATTCTGCAGCCCTTCTGATCCAAAGGCTGAGCTGAATGTTCAAAACCTATATATGCCCTTGTCTTTGAAATACACCTTCTTCAGACCTGCAGTCTTTTGGGAACTGGGCCAGTGCTTGTCCTGACCAGGAACTCAGACTCTAGTTGGCACCGAGGATTTTGTGTGTGACTTTTCCCCAGAGTATGTGACCTCGGCAGGATTCAGGGGAAAGGGAGACCTTCGGAATTTTGCAGCTTTGGAAATAGAAACAGGTGCTTCACGGAGAGGGCAGGCGTGTTCATTTGTTCTGGTAACTAACTCAGTTTCCTGTGGGTGGCCAGGTGGTCTCCACCTTCCAGTTCAGTGCTTGAGTTTTTCATGCCCAGACTTCTTAGGAAGCAAGACACGAAGGTTCCCAATGTTCCGTTCTTGTGGCGAGCAGCCCAGCTGGCTTGTCGTGCTGGATTAGATGAATTGTGAATGCCAATTACACTGATCAATACAGTGGCCTTGGTAACAGACTTGTAGCTGCTCTAGAATCTGTTTACTTCACATTTGTAACAGAAAAGAGACCAAGCTGGTTGGGAACATGATGTTCTGAGTGTAATAAACTGTATTGTGAACCCAAGGAAAACGCGTGCTGGGGGCACTAACCCTGTTGCTTCCCTTCCCCGGGATTTGCCAGAGGGAAGCCTTACTCCGGGGGTGCTTCCGTTCTTATGTGCCAGTTGAGGATGAATTGAGGTTGGCAAAGGCTTGGCCTTTAGTGAGATGGGCTTCCGAACCATGAAGGTTAGAAGGGAAGCCTCCATGTTGGGAGGCACCTCAGTTCTCTGCCTAGTTTGTAATTGGGAGTGGAGAGTTGATGAAATTCGTTTCAGCCCTTGCATTCAGGGGAAGGAACCCCTCCTGTCTGGGGAGTAGAGGGTTCAGAATTCTGCACATTCCTTTCCGACTCCACAGGAAGGGGGTTAGCTGAGTGCTGGGCATGTGTGGAATGAGAGCACCTCGCCAGTTTTTACTGAGTTGGACTAGGCCATTGTGAAAAGAGTCCCTTCCTCACACAAGCCCCGTCCTGCTCTCCTGAACCTGCGGATCCCTCTGATAGACTGTCCGTGCCTGGCAGGCGGAGGTGTTGCTAAAGGCAGATTCTCTCCTTCCTTTGCCTTATTTTATCTCTGAACGAGATGTAGTTACCCCTTTGTTCCCTGCACCCCTTGAGTCTCTTTCTCGAGAGCCTGGTAAACTGGGGTGCCGGAGTTTGCTTTTCCAGATCCTGCTGAGATTGTCCCAGATCAGTACTTCTTGTGGCATGGGCAGGAATGGACGCTATCAGTCATCTAGGGAAGTTTTTCAAAATATGTGTGACCAGGGCGCTGACCCAGACCTACTTCTCAGGATGGGGAGGGGTTGAGGGTACGGGGCAGGTAGAGGATGGTACATGCATTTTAGAACAGCTCAAACCTGACGAGCCCAGGTTTAGAACCACTCTTCTAGATCGTGTGGCAAGGCTGGCCAAAATTGTTATGAAATCTGACATTGGCAAGGCGATGCACCTACCACCTATCTTGGATGACTTTGGCCTTGAGGAAAAATCTTGTCCCATGCGAGAGGTCCTGAAAATAACCTATACTTAGTCTTTCTTCTTTTCCAAGGTGTTCAGAGTGAGCTGTGACCAGGAGTCACGCTGCCCTGTGTCCCAGCCTGTGATGGGCACTTAGAGCACATCAGTGAACAGGACAGTGATTCATATCCTGTGCGGCTCACATTCCTCTGAGGTTATTATTTGGCTCCCGTAAGTCAGTGTAGCAGTTGTTAATCATTTGGGGTTTGGAGCTCTATCAGAGCTGTTTGTCTTCCAGAAGTACGTGCATATATATGACAGTCTGCATATAAAGGGGAGTTGGCAGCCTGAAGCCCATCCAGGGACCCCAGCTGAAACCTAGAATGCTTGCCTGGGATTGAGAATGTGTCGATTGGCTTAAAGCCAGGCCAGGGGTTGGGTGCTCAGGACTGTAAGCTCCTAGCCAGACCGGCTTGTAGTTTCTTCACCTTACAGCCCAGGGAATTTGCAAAGATCCTGATGTGTCTCTAGAAAAAGTAAGTAGAAGAATGGCTAGGCTTCCACTAAACCAATGGCATTTCTGGAGTCTGTGTTCTCTTTGAAATCCTAAGAATGATTTTGACTCTCTGTCCCCATTCCCTACTTCCAGTTTCTGGTTGGCTGAGCTTTTTGGACTCAGTGGATTAAAAATCAGGTCAGAATATGAGGATCTCCTTAACATGATCATTTATATTATGAATTCCTGGACTAATAGGAATAGTAAAATTATACAGATCAGCAGAGGGCATTTTAATGAAATTCTGGCTTCAGAATAGAAGGTCACAGAAGGAGTTGATTAAGGTGCTGAGGAAAAGTCAAAGAGTAAAGACTAGAGAAGGATGATGGGGGAAAAAGGAGGATAGGGCTCAGAAAACAGTTGACTGAGCAGGTGAGACAGGTAGCCAGGAGGCAGGTTCCTTAAGCCAAAGTGAGTGGATTTGAGACCCAGACCAAATATATATTTCTTTTTAGTCCTGTCACTGTTGCTTTATTATCAAATAGAAAGGATAAATAGGGGAGGGCTTTCTAGATACCAATTTTAATGTCTCTCTTCGGGGAAAGGTTGGTGTTTGACCTGAATGAATGACCAAACCCTGCCTCCGGGTTAGGACCGTGTGTGACATGTACCACAGAAGCATGAATGAAATGCGGTTTGGGGCACTGTGAGAAAGAATTCTGTGGAATTCTTCCCTTCTAACCGGCCAGGTTCAGAGGTTCGAGCACAGCAGGCATGCCGGGTCCTGTGGCAGTTCTTCCTTTGCCTCCCAGGAATCGGACCTTTCGTGTAAGGAGTGGTCTTTACAGGGCTATTCCTGTTCCTCTGCCTCAGGTCTAAGGCGAGCTTTCCACACCCCACGGAGGGATTGCTGAGTAAGTGCAGTATTCAAAGTCTTTCCCAGAGGCCCCAGGGGGCTCCAGATACTGCTCACCAGCATCAGCGTATGGAAAACTGTTCTGCTATGAAACTCCCAAGCTGCTGTTCTATAAGGGCACCTCATTCTTTGTTCAGTGGTGCATTAAAGCCAAGGCCACCTAATCTACGGGAAATAATCACACCCTGTTATCTTTATTTTTTGTTTTTGTTTTTGTTTTTAAAGAAGCTCTTTAACCTGATCAAACTTCTGATCAGCTTTAAGTAAAAGTCCTAATTTACTGGTGGTTTTACTTGTTTATTTTTATATCAAGATTTAAGCAAAAATGGTTTGAAGATATATAGATCAGTGATGTTCTAGCAGTGTTCTTTATGGATAAAAATTTGCTGAATAACTTCCTGTACAAATTTTGATTTTGACTTTTGGTTTGCTATACAGCCTGAAGCAAGAGATTTTTGTCCTTGGGTGTCTGCCCACTTTACTCATTAGAAAAATGGCTGTTCAGAAAGCCCTAAATGAAGAAAACCCAGACTTACGTATTCTGGCCTGGGGGGGTGGGGGGTACTTACTCATTCTGGAGCAAAAGGTAGCTCTTCTTTTTAAGTAGCCCCAAAGAAGTTGCAGGCGGCAGTTCCTTTCAGCCAGCTTGCTTCTGATAGGCTATCTAAGATGATTTTCTACTGAGACTTTTCCCTAAAATTGAACATGTACATCTCCATTTAGGAGGTCAAGAAGGATGGCAAAGATTCCTCTCTAGAGTGAAAACCACGGTTATGTGTTTGGCGTGACTAGTTCTCTTTGACAGGTTCCTGTCCATGTATGGTGTCTGTAGTCTCCTTCTGGAGGCTTTTTGTGTCTCGTTTCTGAGAGCTGTGGAAGCTAAAGCCAGCTGCAGCCAGCTGATCCACAGAGCAATTTCACCTTGCTCCTTGGACTTGAAATATCCAGTGTCGCTGCAGAACGGACTTTGAAAGGTCCGTTCCACTCTCAGGGCCTGTTACTACAGAGTTACTATTTCACATTAAGTCTTTAAAGTCCGATTATTTTATTTAGTGTTGAGTTTTGATGGCTTTTTCCTCCCTGGAGCCTCCACTTTATGGGACTCGGTGGATGCTGACTGAACAACCGATATGCTTTCCATCTCATTAACTTTATTGGGTGTTAGTCTAGGGCTCAGAAAGCTGACCTGCATGGACTCGGCCAGGCACTGGGAGCGGCTGTAGCTCCGCCGTAGGCTGTTTGGCAGGGACTTGCATGTTCGCCTCTGGTTAGGTCCGGCCTTCCCAGATGTGCGCAGACTTACGGGGGGGGCGGGGGGGGGGTGCACTTGCTCAGGCAAACGTGAAGAGGGTTTGAATCTGTAAGATTAACCAGCTTTCAGTTTCAGGTGAGGTAGACCTCCAGGTCCAGGAAAAAAGAATTACTCCTGCACGTCTCTGCTTGTTTCTCCCGGGTGGGCTAAGGCATTACGCATATGGCATGTACTCAGTCTGTGGCCACCTTCCCAAATGCCAGGGAGACGCCACCCCCCTTCTGGAGCTGTCCACTACCGTTTGCTTTCGGAATTAATTCTTTCCTCATAAAAATGTATTTGAAGAGTACAGATTGACCTGTTAGTCAGCAGTTGACAAGTTTTCATCTTAAAGAATATACCAGCGTATCTGGCCAGTTTAACTTCTCTGTGAGAGACCAAGATTGTCCACATGAGAAAAGAGATACAAATAGGAAAAGTTCAAGTTTAAAAAAAATGGTCATGTGAAATTGGAAATGGAAATATCCACACGAACTCATGAGTAAAACAAGGTGGATTTCTCTCTCTGCTGAAAGAACTGGAAGCACCGACACTTCTGATGGCAGTGAGCAGCCTCCTGCCCAGGCGTGAGCTTCAGAACACCACGCCCCCCTGGAGGAGGTCAGGGCTCCTTGAGAAATGGCCGGTGCCAGGTCTGAAGCAGAGAAAGAACAAGGTGAGCCTTGTGGGTATTACGTCCGAAAGGAAGGAAGTGCTCAAATGGGGGCATGTCAAAAGGTCAGAAGGATCAGCTTGAAGGAGCCCCCGCACTGACCCAATTTAGGACAGTTACACTCCTTGTGTAATTGAGTGTAACCTTGAATAAATAAAAATATGAATGGCGAGTAAAAAAGAAAACGTGAGGGAGAAGAGAAGCTTTTCTTTACCAAAGAATGCCAGGTAATATTTAGAAGGAATAATAGGAAAAAAATCATGATTCTATAAACCACCCGCCTCCCCCAGTATAACCCGTTCAGGCAAGGATGATGAACAGATGGCAAAGTCACGAGGGAGCGGGATATTCACAGGCTGACAAGTGTCACTCCACAGATTAACCTTCACTTGCAAAGGAGAAGATGCACCTTTCAAACCCTGATGGCCTCCCTGTCACCACGGCTTCAGCTGCGTGTCACATTGTTCAGTGAACAGCCCGATGCTGTGTGTCCTGATACGACGCAGAGTGCATTGTATAACATCATCTGTGAGATATTCCTGCCGAAATGTTAACCTCTTTCTAATCAAACCTCAAAACTGAACTTCCAGATTACAGGAAGGAACCAATTCAGAGAAAGAAACCTAATGTGGAAAATGGAAAGATTCAATCGAGGTGGAGGGCATATAGGTTTCATTATATTATTTTTCAAAAAATCTGTATATTGGAAATTATAATAAATTTGGAGAAATAAATAGAACAACAGTGGTGGTGGCGGTGAGCTTGGGGGGCCTTTAGTGTATCGCTACAGTCATGGGTATGTTCCAGGAACCTAGATTTCTTCAGTCACCTGTACAAAAAAATTTTTTTAATGTAGAGTTGATGACCATTCAGTGGCAGGCACAGAGAAGAATGGCTAACATGTTTTCATAATATTGGTGGTGGTTTGAGGATGAGGAAAATATGGATAGCTAAACTGACATTGAAACCTAGTCCGGATGTGTGTTATGCTGTGTTGTACGTTGTGGTTTTCAAAAGATTAGGAAGCCCTTCCCTGCCCCACTTGTAGCCAGTAACCTCTTTATCTCACTCTGTTGGCAGTTGGCAGCGCAGATCACGCATTTTCATAGATCACGTCAGGAGATAATAGAAGCAGTGAGGTGTGTTGTCTCGTGTGAAGAGAATGGAGTGGCTGTTAGGGGAAAACTGCTCTTTGGCACAGGTTTTCAAGCCTTATGTTCTTTCCTCACCATGAAGTGACTCAGCAGTGTGGGCCCTGGTGTTGCCTCTCCCTTTCCTCCCCCTGACGCCGATGAAGCATCAAGTCGAATCCCATATGAAGGGAGTGTTCTGACTGGAACTGATTGTAGCCGTGTGTGTTATGTCCTGTTCCTGTTGAGACACGGAGACGGGTGGAGTGGGGGAGAGACATGTGTGCTGTGACTAGCTTGCCCATTCTCTGCTCCCCAGAAACTCAGGCCCCATCTGGGGTGACTGGGAACTTAAGAAACTTGAGACGGGACCGGAGGACCTCCGAGTTTCTGCTCTGGGAATAGAAGTGACTGGGGGGCTGTAAATCGCTCTGCGGCCTGAGTGAGATTCCCTTGAGAGGAAGTGTTTTCTGGGGGTGTACCTGAAACTTGTCGGGAAGGGGGTGCCCTTCTTTTGGGGGACATTTCTTTTATCCAATTGGAAGTCTGAAAGATGTTTAGACTTATGGTACCCAGAGTTGGTGTTTGTTGATTACTGTTTCTTTGGATCCACTTGAAATGGGAATCAGACCGATCACTGGTAAGTTCTTCCACCTGTTTAGGCTGACAGCCATACGCGCTTCCTTCCCTCTGAGGAAAGAGCCAGTGAGGAAAGAACCTATAGACTCTAGAGCAGCGGTTCTCAACCTGTGGTTCTCAACCCCTTTGGTGGTCAAACGACCCTTTCACAGGGGTCACCTAAGACCATCCTGCATATCAGATATTTATATTACGATTCATAACAGTAGCAACATTACAGTTATGAAGTAGCAACGAAAATAATTTTATGGTTGGGTCACAACATGAGGAACTGTATTTAAAGGGCCAGAAGGTTGAGAACCACTGCTCTAGAGAAAGGGTAAGTTGGCCAGAAGATGTGTGAGAAGGCTTACAGAGGATGTGCTGGGACTCTTGGGAGGTGCTATAGCACACTGCTTAGTAATTGACCTTGTCCAGCTTTCTAGCTTCTGATCGTCACCTTTTTGCTCAGTTGTTAAGTGTTAGCTAAGAAATAAGCTGACTATAATTTTTAAATATAAAAATTTGCTTGTTCCTAAAGAAGCAGTAAAATTCTGTGACAGAACCATTTGTGTTATCATTAATTTCACTGTGAGTCAGAGCACATCTACAGATTGGAAGGGACCATCTTTCCTTCCATCAACCTTCCTGGAATGGCACTGGGCACTTAGTTGGTGCCTACCAAACGTGCTGACTAAAAGAATATACTCCATGAGTATCATCCTGATCACCGTCCCTTGGCCAATGAGTCATAGTGGAATTTTGGTAGTTTTTCATTCTCTCTCATTCGAGGGCTAGAAGGCAACATTGGGTGGGGCCTGGGAAGTTAGTATAACTAAGCTATTGAGCATCTGAGTAGCTAGATCCTGTGTTTGTGGAAGTAAACTTCTCAGTTTCTAATTAGCATCAACTGCATGAGTGGTACACAACCATTTGTCTTCTCTGGAGGCTTACAGCTCTGGGGGTGCCTGCGATCCCTTTATCTTGGTGAGTTCTGTCCAGCAAGTCTTTCTGCTCACTGTATATAGCACGTTAAATTGGCCTGAATTTAATTAGTTCTGAAGGCACAGCCAGTGGACGCCTGTATTTGGAGAATGGGTCAATCTGACCTTCTAGCCTGTCTCAGATGTGGAAGTAGTTCAAGAATGGATGCTGGTGTGTGTGGGGTGGTGGGTGAGGCTGTTTTATGGGGTGGTGAGTATCCAAACACAAAATAGTTCTGTAGCCGGACTTTTTGATTTTCAACTATCTAGCTCCTCCCCCACCCCCCACTTCCCCGCCCTACATCACCTTTACTGCACATCTGGATTTGAAGAAACACTGAAGGACACCAATGAAGACTTCATGATTGGAAGAAATCGTGTTAGTGGGAAGTAATGTAAACAGAACCACTTTGCAATCATCATTGGCTTCGATGCAATGAGGCCAACCCAGTTAGAAGCTGTTAGAGATCTGGTTTCACTAGCGAGAAAACCTGTGACGTCCCAAATTGTTTTTGACAACAGTGTTTTATTTACACTGTGAGGGTGAACAACACTCCAGGAGGGATACGCCAAGGGAAAGAGCTCCTAGCTGTGCAGCCAGTGGGGATACAGGTTCTCTGCCGCCTGGAGGTTTGGGGTGGGAGAGGAGCCGATGTCGTCACGCCTCTTTAGAAGCAGTGAAAATATCAAAAAGCTACAAGACTAGACAGCCATCCATCCATGTTGTGACTTGAGTTAACATTCCGCACACTTGAAGGATGGCCCGCATTTATCATTTAGGGGGTGGGGTTTGCACTGCTTTGTAAGCCGCTTGCCGCACAGTCTGATATTTTTAGGTGGGAAAGATTCGCTAAGCTTTAGGCGACTGGTGAACTCTATTAATACAAGGTGGATTATGACTGTTCAGGTCTTAGGGTGCTGAAGAAACACACTTCTATCTTGCCATAGCTGCCCCTCTTTTTTATTAAAAAAACAAACAAACCCTGCTAATGTCACTGCAGTTCCCTCCCTCACCCCTGGTAGGTGGTGTCTGGGAACATACCCGGAACCTTTTGAAAAAAGATGCTCAGGGGAGGAAGCCTTACATAACAGCCTGGCCGAGAGCAGCTTCCCAATAGGCTGCCGCGGGAGGAGCACAGAGGCAGAGAGAGGACGGGCTGCCCCCGGGGAGTGTTCGAAATCGATGATGGTCTCTTGACTGTGTTTTCTCCCTGCCACCAGAATAAGGGGTAAAAGTCATTACCTTGGTCCTGGATTAGTCTCGTCAGTAAAACTAGCTTTGCTGACTGCAGTCACGTGGACATGCAATGGGAAATCCTGTCCAGAAGGCACACGCTGAGCTGTGGCCACTTCAGTGAGGGGAGGTTTTGTATGTGTTTTTGTTTTAAGAAAGGCAGTTGTGCTCTAGCCAGTGTTGCTCAGTGGGTAGAGCGCCGGCCTGCAGACTGAAGGGTCCCGGGTTTGATTCTGGTCAAGGGCACATGTCCGGGTTGCGGGCTCGATCCCCAGTAGGGGGCGTGCAGGAGGCAGCTGATTGATGATTCTCTCTCATCATTGATGTTTCTATCTCTCTCCTTCTCCCTTCCTCTCTGAAATCAATAAAAATATTTTTTTTAAAGGCAGTTGTGCTTTTAACATTTAAGCTATTTAAAGTCCATTTAGCCGAACTGGTTTGGCTCAGTGGATGGAGCGTCGGCCTGCGGACTCGGGGGTCCCAGGTTCGGTTCCGGTCAGGGGCATGTGCCTTGGTTGCGGGCACATCCCCACTGGGGGGCGTGCAGAAGGCAGCTGATTGATCTCTCTCATCGATGTTTCTGGCTCTCTGTCCCTCTCCCTTCTTCTCTGTGGAAAATCAATAAAATATATTTTAAAAAAATAAAAAAATAAATAAAGTCCATTTAAATTTAACCATGGAGAGGAGAGCTTACCCTGGGAGAGCTTACATTTCCAGACATGTTTGCTGAAGACTTAGCTTAATGGATTCTCCATGGGAACCTTTTCAGGTTTAGTCAGACTGGGAGGGAAATCCAACCCATTCTGCTTTCCAGGAGCTGAAGTTTAAAGAAAGGGTTTATCAGGGTGTGAATAGGAATTCAGGAGGAAGGTGTAAACCACTTACAGAATAAAGTGTTTCATGCACTTGAGAAACAGCCATTAATTTGCCTATAAATAATGTTAATTATAAGCTATTTGCTGTTTATTAAGGCCAGTTTTCCAAATATCGTTAAACAATGACCAAGTTCTGGTTTATTTCATTTAAGGGAGTTTTTAATGCAGCGTTTACCAAGTCATTATTTTCTCCTACCTTCAAATTAGTCCTAATTAGCTGGAATTGACTATGGTGTGTATGAGTGTTTTAATTTCTCTTTCATTAGAATAGTCTGGTATTTTACTCAATCTGGGAGGTCTGGGATACCTTGGCTTTGTGGAGGTTAGGTGTATGGTTGGCCTTTGACCCCAGTGCTCATCACCATCAAGCATCTCTTTTTTTTTTTTAAATATATTTTATTGATTTTTTTACAGAGAGGAAGGGAGAGAGATAGAGAGTTAGAAACATCGATCAGCTTCCTCCTGCACATCTCCTACTGGGGATATGCCCGCAACCAAGGTACATGCCCTTGACCGGAATCGAACCTGGGACCTTTCAGTCCACAGGCCGACGCTCTATCCACTGAGCCAAACCGGTTTCGGCAGCATCTCTTCATGATTCTCTCCAAAGAGAAGTCCATTGCTAACTTCAGGATAAGAATGTGTTACAAGAGAATATTCTGAAAACAAGCAGAAGCAATATGAGATTATGCCTGTTTTTGTTTTTATTGAGTTGGGAGGGCAGGGTAAAGGGTTTAATATGTCAAGGTTATAAGAGGAAAGAAAACTTCATGGAATATGGGTAGGAAAATTTGTGAAATTGGACAGAAACCAAAAGAAGTTGGGTCTTTAGCCACCCCTCCCCCAAAAAACAATTTCTGCTGAAACAATTGGGCAGAGACAGTAATTAGCATTTGGGGAAACGTCAGAAGGTGGGGTGTCCTCCTGTCTGGCGAGGATGAGGGGGAGCTGCTGGCTTAGTAGTGGGAGCTACATGGTAACAGCTTTCAGGGAGGACAGTGTATGGCCTTAAAAATGGAACCTTTCATAGAATCCTTGTAAGCTTGCAACCCTTTTGTCTTCCTCTTACAGCAAATCCAGTTTGCTGATGACATGCAGGAGTTCACCAAATTCCCCACCAAGACAGGCCGCCGCTCTCTGTCGAGGTCCATCTCTCAGTCCTCCACTGACAGCTACAGCTCAGGTAGGTGAGGACCTCAGGTGCTGCTCTCTCCTGTTCTGGAGCCGGAAGCAAGTTCTCTCCCAGGCGCTTATCTAGAATCTGCAAATTCCTCCTGTCAGGGCTGCCCATCTGTGTGCTGAAAGCTGATCATTAGCGGTTGGGCAATGGGACTGTTCCCAGCCAGCCTTGTCGCTGGGGACGCTTTTGTCATCCTGAGGCTTTCTGCCCCAGCCTGTCTCGGTGTGTGGTCTGTGGCTGTGCCTGGCTGGTAGTTCTGGGCCGGTTCCCACTCCCACGTTCGTCTGTTCATCCGCCCACATTACCAAAGGAGAAAATCAATGGTATTTTGGCTGACAAAACTGGCCTTGAAAAGAGGTGTACTTTGAAAGCATAATTTCTGATCTTTATATAAGATGTACCCTGCCTCCTGTCTTTCTCGTTCTTGTCTCCAAGACCGCTTGAGTTGTACCAGTGAAGATGAGTATTCCCGCTCCTTTCATTTACAGCGTTATCCTCTCTGCTGAAGTGTCCTCCCCGTTAACCTCTCGAGTGGGAAAGACTATGCGACTGTGGCTCCAGCTCTGTTTCTTCTTAGTTCTTTTTTTTTTTTTTAATATATTTTATTGATTTTTTACAGACAGGAAGGGAGAGGAATAGAGAGTTAGAAACATCGATGAGAGAGAAACATCGATCAGCTGCCTCCTGCACACTCCCCACTGGGGATGCACGCCCCCTACTGGAGATTGAGCTCGAAACCCGGGCATGTGTCCTGACCAGGAATTGAACCAGTGACTTCTTGGTTCATGGATCAACGCTCAACCACTGAGCAACACCAGCCGGGCTGTGGTCTTTTGTGCCCTTCTCACCTTAGGAGTAGGTACTAGAAGGTTAACTTAGAAAGGATGTAGAAGCTGAGGGTCTGTGTGCTGGAGGTACACAGCACTGGACGGTGCAAGGGGCCCCTCATTCAGGCCCCCCCCCCCACCCTTGTGCACAACTTAGTATAAAAGCCCTTATAAGATTGTCTTATCACTTTCGTCCATATTTGTGATTCTCAAAGTGTGGCCCTCTGAACAGCAGCAGCAGCACCTGGGAACTTGTTAGAAATGTCAGTTTTGGGTTCCACCTGAGACCTTCTGAAGGGGTTTCTGGTGGGGGGGCCTCGCCAACTGTGATTTAACAAACCTTCCACAAGATTCTGATAGATGCTTTAGCTGCTTCAGTTTGAGATGGTAATCTATGGAAATAGCATTCCTTATGTCCCCTAAATTATTCTTCCATTTTGCCATGTCCAGGTCCCACTCAGGTGGGGACCAAGTAGCCGATGCTCTGGGATGCACTAGGCCTGTGCCAGATTGAGGTCCGTGGCTCCTCGTCGCAGGCGCTCACGGCCGAGTATCATTGCGGTGGTGATAGGGCCTCGGCCCTGAAAGGTCGCAGCAGTTTCATTCCCCCATTTATCAGGCCCAGGGAGCAGATCTGGGGGCGAGGACGCAGTGGCTGCAATGAAGAGTCTTGGCCTAACTGAAGTGGGAGTCCTTGGGGGCCGCACTCTGTGGAGTTGGGGCCATTGAGGTTTCTCTCTTTCCTGGCTCTAGCTGCGTCCTACACAGACAGCTCTGATGATGAGGTCTCCCCCCGGGATAAGCAGCAAACCAACTCCAAGGGCAGCAGCAATTTCTGCGTGAAGAACATCAAGCAGGCAGAATTTGGACGCCGGGAGATTGAGATCGCAGAGCAAGGTAAGGGAAGGGAGTGGGCAGGGACCAGAAGCAGCCACTTACTGGTCATCGGACCCACACACTTGAGGCCTGAAAGTCCCGGGGAAAACCCAGTATCCTGGGCCTCTGTACAGTCGCATCTCTGTACGGAGCTTGAGCCTCAGGACTCTTGATCTGGTCCTCCTGCTTCCTGTTCTCAGCATGTGGTCATCGACAGTAGTTTCTGTTCCCCCACCTCCCCTGTCTCCATGGCACCAAGTCCAGAGATCTGGTTGCAGCGTCAGCAAGTCTGGGCTCACTGCTGCGAGGTGGTTGGTTCTGCGGGATCTGCCCCAGCAGAGCTCCGGGCCCAGATTTCCCAGAAGCAGCAGAGTGGGAGGGTTTTCAGCAGGATGTGGGGACCTAGGGCCTCGGTTGGTCTTCGGTCCTGAGCACCCTCTGCTGGAGCAAGAGTGAAAGTGACTGTCAAATCTTGGTTGCTGCATCCCACACCCAGTAAGGCCTCCTCACTCTTGTGTTGCTTTCCCACTGAAAGTGTTCTATACTGGGAGGGAGTACGGAACCAGAGACTGAGCTGGGGTTAGACAGCATGGCAAGACAGAAGCCTGGGGCTCTGCGAGGGGCAGGCTTCTTCCTGGTGTGATGGGCATATGCAGGAGCCCAGGGCCACTGCCATGACGGCTGCCCTCTCCCAAGTGCATGATGATACTCACCCTCCGTTTGGTCAGTTTTGAGAATTTACTTCATTCTCTGCTCAGTCCTCTGCATAGAAGGCAGAAATCCCAAGTGATTCGATGACAACCCCCCAGTGATGTGTTGAAGCTGCCAGTTATCAGATCAGAACTCTGCTGAGTTTCTCTACCTTGCCTCGCGGTATCTCAGCAGATCCAGACCCGCCCCCTGTCGCTGGGCAGGAGTTGTGAGCCTGCCAGTGCAGACCTAGCTCAAATCCTCTGTTCTTTCACAGACATGTCTGCTCTGATTTCACTCAGGAAACGCGCTCAGGGGGAGAAGCCCTTGGCTGGTGCTAAAATAGTGGGCTGTACACACATCACAGCCCAGACTGCGGTGAGTTTGTTGGGAGAAAACAGAGGGACTTCTGATGAGGGGGGAATAACAACTTTTTATAAACTTCCTTTTCGTCCCAATCTATCCAGCCTCCCAATGCTATCCTAGTCGGCGGTTACTCAGTAATGGGGCTTTCTGCTCTGTATGGGTGCAGCCGACCTTCAGCAACCCTGAGTTAGGGAGATCGAGTTTTGCAAAAACAGGATTGATATAAAAGTGTTATTAAGACTTTTAGGAACATAGCTTTTGGGTAACGTTAGACACCAGTGTGCTGCCTCGCTGGATGACACCCTCGTGGCACTGTCGCTGCAGAGTTGCTGGGTAGGTTCTCTTCCATGCCCCGCCCGCCCTTGTCCTCACCCGGCTCCTGTGCGTCTCCGCAGGTGTTGATTGAGACGCTCTGTGCGCTGGGGGCCCAGTGCCGCTGGTCTGCCTGCAACATCTACTCCACGCAGAACGAAGTGGCTGCAGCACTGGCTGAGGCTGGTAAGTTTCAGCTTTTGTTGTTACTGTTATTACCAACTTGGCCTCCAAATAATTATGCAAACATAACTTTTATGTATCACAGTCGTCTCTACAGAGCCATGTCTGTCTAGGGGCTGTAAAATTTGGAGGACAATAAAAATATCAACAGGAAGAAAATAGATAATAAACTTAAGGTTCATGTCCATGATAGACTATTATATAGTCATTAACAGTGATTTTTGAAAAGACTAATTACATGGGGACGTGCCCAACTCTAATGTTAAATGAACGAGGAAGAATGTTAAAATGTACGAGCTCAGCAGGTCTCCTTTCACCCAGGGTCTCATCCCTTTAGGAGAACATGAGCAGTGCCTTCTGCACTGATAGCATGTTAGATAAGTTGGTGTTCACTGTCACTGTGGAACTATATGACCACTCATGAGTTCAGTTAAACATCAAATGATTGTTATTGTCAAAATGTTCAAAAGAAAATCACCATGAAGTTTCTTTAAGGATCTCGCATCTCCCTAGGATGCTCAGAAAGCAACTTTATAAAACTGTTGTTTGTCTTATTTACTCTTTTCTGGTGTTTATTGCAAAAAATTTAGGAGGTTCCAAAACAAAATAAAACACCATGATCCTGCTACCCAGACACAATTTGACCATTTAAAAAATTTTTCTATTCACTTTTTCCAGAGATGAACTAAATCTCAGTGTGCATGCAGTTTTATAACCCAACTGTAACATTGTCAGAAGTGGTTTCCCACGTCCCTGAGAACTTGGACAGCGCCGTTTGTCGTGCTCAGCCACGTGGACGAGGGGTTCTACTTCAGAGGCGCTGTTTTGACTTCGGCCCTTCCTAAGTTGTTTCCCTTCTAGCATAGTTTCTGTAGCCCTTCCAGAGAGTGATGTTGGCCTGGGACATGCCCCGAAGGAGCAGCAGCTGACCTGTGTCCTCTGTGCAGGGGTTGCAGTGTTCGCGTGGAAGGGCGAGTCGGAAGATGACTTCTGGTGGTGCATTGACCGCTGTGTGAACATGGACGGGTGGCAGGCCAACATGGTAATCATGCATGTTCATCCTACACTTGGGCAAGACAGTTGTTGCCTTTTTTCCCTCAAAGCATGGTTCCCTGAGAATGTTTTGGAAATTTGGTCTGACACACTTACTTTGTTGCCAAGTGTTTAGCCTGCTACCTATTCAGAATGGGTCTGAGAACTGGTCTGAGTACTGACTGCATCGCTGGGGGCAGGGGAAGACTCGGCAGGCAGAATGAGACAGCAGGAAGTGATGTGGTGCCCTGCCGAGTAGGAGTCTCGTTTCTTCCTTCCGGCCCCGACTCCTTTTGCATTGAAAGGGGCTATATATTTCAAGACTCAGCTCAAAATGAGTGTGTGAATAGCCTAATACTCTTCACTAGAGTCCAGAACAAACTTAGGAACCCTTTTAACCATGTTACACCAACAAAGTGTACTGCTTACTGTCCCGGCCTGCTCCCGGAGCTCGGAGCAGCGCTCTCCCAGCACGTGCAGGGCTCGCTCACTAGCGCAGAAAGTGGTTCGCAGGTCCCCCCAGCTCTAGCAGCCTGAATGCCCATAGAAGTCTTCTGGCTGTTCTGTAGATCCTGGATGATGGGGGAGACTTAACCCACTGGGTTTATAAGAAGTATCCAAACGTGTTTAAGAAGATCCGAGGCATTGTGGAAGAGAGCGTGACTGGTGTGCACAGGTAACAGACTGGAGTAGCCGCCCCGTGTCCTTGCTCAGCGAGTTCTCCTGGGCTCTCAGGCTGCAGGGCGTGTTTCAGACCTGTCGGTGTTGAGTTCTTACTTTGAAAAATCCAGGAGACCCTGAAAGGAAGTTATTCCAGGTTCTAGTTCACATTTTTCTCTCCCACTTATTCCACTGTGATTCTCAACCAGTGTTGGGAGGTAGGGAGTGAGTATGTCTTGAAAAACTGTATTCAATATTGTATTACAATTTCATATTTGAAATAGGAAAAAATTCTATTGTGAAACTGGATGTCAGATACGCTACAAAAAATAAAACTGGGCAAAATATTCTCGGCTTGTCAGAGTACCTAAAGATGCTCGCAAAAGCGTTCCCAGTTGGGGGCACGTGGCACGTTGCTCTCACGCACAAGGGAACCGAATCAGAATCTTTGATCATCTTTGTTTATGAGCAGTAGGCATGGTAAAGATTGAGAGGATGCTGCCTAAGGAAATATATCCCCTTTTATGGAAGGGAAGTAAATTTCTTCAGTTGAAAGGATTTTTTTCCTTTCCAAATAAAGGGGACGGAGGCGGGGGGGCGGGGGGGGGGGAATGACAAGGAAAGTGAGGAGGGATGACGAGGAAATCATTTGTTTACTAATATCCGAGGGCATGTCAGGCTGGGGAGGCAGCATGGAGCTTGGAGAGGATTAGGCAGATTTGCCACGCGTCCTGTTTACCAGCTAACTGGTCTTGTTTTTGTGGCTTCTTCTTCCCTTAGGCTGTATCAGCTCTCCAAAGCGGGGAAGCTCTGCGTTCCAGCCATGAACGTCAATGATTCTGTTACCAAACAGAAGTTCGATAACTTGTACTGCTGCCGAGAGTCCATTCTGGATGGGTAGGTTGAAGAGCACGGATATCAGGCTACGGGCGTGCACGTGGGCGGGCCGCAGTGCTCCCTGTCAGTCCTCCAGTCGTCGCCCCCTGCTCTTCCTCTGGGTCCATTCCTTACGGAGCCCCGCCTCTCCGCCTCCAGTTCTTGTGGGCTTGCCCCCCACTTTGAATTCTGTGCGAGGGACTGTGTTTGAGCTAATAGTGTTCGAGTTGAGCCCTGTCTGTCTCCACAGCCTGAAGAGGACCACAGACGTGATGTTTGGTGGGAAGCAGGTGGTGGTGTGTGGCTACGGTGAGGTAACTAGCAGGGCCGCAGGGCCTGTCTTCTCATGGACTTACCAGAAATGTCGCGTGAAGGCTGCGTGCTCAGGGTGGCGTCACTGACGAAGGTTTAAAATACTCTTAGATAACGTATCTCAAAACAATAGCAAAAGTCCTTTATTCAGATTATGAATGAAGACATATGAAATGAATCAAGTTCAGATTTTACCACTTTGTCTTATGGGATGGAATGTTGGTATCATTTCCCCCATTCTTTTTTTTTTTTTTTAATGTACTTTATTGGTTTCAGAGAGAAAGGGAGAGAGACAGAAACATCAATGATGAGAGAGAACCATTGATTGGCTGCCTCCTGCACACCCCCTGCTGGGAATTGAGCCCACAACACGGGCATGTGCCCTTGACCAGAATCGAACTCATGACCCTTCAGTCTGCAGGCCGATGTTCTATCCACTGAGACAAACCAGCCAGGGCCATTTCCCCCATTTATAACAACAGCCTGTTTTGAGACTTGATTCAAGGGACTATGTCGCATTTTAGCCCCGCAAGCACCTGGCAGTGGAGTGAGGGGTGGAATCCACCTGGCACAGAGCTGCCTGTCTCTAAGCTCGGGTCGGTGAAGGGGGTTGCATTGTCATCAGCGATGGCCCGCAGGAGTTCCTGTGCTGCTAGGCTGTCCTTGAGTTTAATGCATCTCAAATGAGAGTGACCAGGTCTTTCTGGACTAAGAAACTAGAGTTACAGTTGCTCTTCTTGGCTTTGTTTCCCTACTAGTAACACTTTTGTTCCCTTGATCTCATTTACTGTCCCAAGCCCTGCCCTTGTATGCAATAGGGAATGTCTGACTAAGGTCGCAGCATAGTCTGGACCTGTCTCTGCTCTGTCTGGGCGGGAGCCTTCGTGCCAGGGCTCATGAGATGATTGGTGACTTCAGAGCGTTAGTTCCCGCCTCCCACAGAGCCTGCTGCCCGGTGCCCAGGCCCTGGTGGACCTGAGGCCTGACGCTCTCTCATGCTCGGCAGGTGGGGAAGGGCTGCTGTGCTGCTCTCAAGGCCCTCGGAGCCATCGTCTACATCACAGAGATCGACCCCATCTGCGCTCTGCAGGCCTGGTAAGCACGGTGCTCCGTTCACCCCGCGTGCTTCGTTTCTGAGAGTCCGTGAGTGATCGCATGACCCATTCCCTGCAGAGCCCTCAGAGGAGAAGGCTGGGGTCGCCCTGTCCCTCCAGTGCCATCCCAGGGCCTCTTCGCTTCCTGGGTGGAATCTTGGGGAGTCTGAGGAGGCCAGTGGGTGTCGTTGAGCATAGTTGTCACTCACCGTCCCTGTGGGGTGGACTGGATCTGACTTCAGAAAGGAACTTCTAGTCTCGGTTAGTGCAGCTTCCGGCCCCTGCCCCCTGGCTTTGCTCAGTGTCCTTCCTGTTCTTCCAGCATGGACGGGTTCCGGGTGGTAAAGCTCAGTGAAGTCATCCGGCAGGTGGACGTGGTGATCACCTGCACAGGTGAGTGCCGTGCTGTCCTGCGGGAGTGCTCACTCGGGCTGTCCCCACGGCGGTCAGACTGACGTCACTTACCGAGGCCGCGCTCGGGGTCAGGGCTCTGAACTGGAGGAGCTCTCAGAGCCTTGGCACGCCCTCAGAACAGAGCTCTCCCCGTGGCTCGTGCACTGCGCGGTCTTAGCACCAGTAACGTCGCCTGAAGAGCTGTTCGTTATGCAACGTACATGTCTTTTCTCATGTACGTGCCCTTTAATGCCAGTGAGCCTCCTCTCCACGTTCTCACTGACAGCACCCAGCGCCTTGTTCTGCATCTCTTCAGCCGCCTGCCTTTACTTTCAGGAAACAAGAACGTAGTGACGCGGGAGCATCTGGACCGCATGAAAAACAGTTGTATCGTGTGCACATGGGCCACTCCAACACGGAAATTGACGTGGTGAGGCTTCTCACGCATTTCCCTGGGCCTTTGCCCTCTTCCTTCCCACGAGCCATTCAGCCACCTGTGCTGTCTGCCTTTCAGACCAGCCTGCGCACCCCGGAGCTGACGTGGGAGCGGGTCCGTTCTCAGGTGGACCATGTCATCTGGCCCGACGGCAAGCGCGTCGTCCTGCTGGCAGAGGTACGCCCGGCGGGGCTGCGGCAGAGCCTGTGCACGTGTGGAGCTAGGTCCTGGGGGGAGTGCAGGGGGGACAGTGGGCCTGTTTCCCGGGCCTCTGTCTTTGCATAGCGATGTGTTTCTCAAATGGTCTGGGTCCCCAAAGTAGAATCACTCAGAGAACTATCTACTTTTGACTAAGTAACACACTGCTCCTGTCGCAACTGAGTCAGACTCAAGACTTGCAGAAAGCAAGACAACACTGACTTGAAAGAGGAACTCTTCCTCCAACCAGCTGAGTCCAGGGCAGAAAAAGGGCCTCCTGCATTGTGTGACTGGCTGACTGGCATGTGCGATGGGACAGCACCCTCACCCAGGGCTCCCTTTTCCCTCCCCAGGGCCGCCTGCTCAACCTGAGCTGCTCCACAGTCCCCACCTTTGTGCTGTCCATCACGGCTACCACACAGGTACGTGACATCATGCCTCTTGTCCTGCACTGCGACGAGTGGACGGGCCCAGAGCAGCGGTCCCGGGAGAGGGCCCTGCGGTGTCGCCGTCTGCGCAGGATTTGTGTTTTCTGACCCTCTCCTCCCACTTAGGCTTTGGCACTGATAGAGCTCTACAATGCACCTGAGGGACGCTACAAGCAAGACGTGTACTTGCTGCCCAAGAAAATGGGTGAGTGAAACCCGTAGAAACCTCTGTTGGTCCTGGCCTGTGGCGTGGTTTGGTCAAATGAGCACCGTGGAAGGCATGGGAGTCAGAGCAGGTTCTAGTCCCTGTTCTCACACTGAGGCTTTGGGCCTCAGGACAAGTTCTAATCTCCATGAGCCTCAGTTTGTTTGTTTTTTGATCAGTAAAGTGAGAATAATACTGCGTACATTGCAGAATGTAGTGAGAATTCTAGCTACTGAGTAGGAGTGCTCAGCACAAAGGGTGTGGGCAGGTGCTCTTCCTCTGCGCAGCCTAGGAAGTCCAGTAAGCTTCCCGGTCTGCCGCTGAGGGCAGCTTGGACCACAGTGAGAAGCAGAGAACAATGGTGGGCTTTACTGTCCTGCTCTGTGTAGCTATGCAAACAGCCTCTTGTCGTCCAGGGGACAGCTGTGCTGTGTTCGTGTGACATAGTACATCTCTCCAATTCTTTACCTTCCAGAATTGTGGTGCCCATCCCCCCAACTATAACTGATCAACCCAATTGATCAGTCTTCTAAAAGCTAAAAAACTTCTGGTTCTCATCACCTCCAATAGCTTACCTGAGATTGTTGTTGTTTTTTAAATCATATTCATAAAGGTATAGCCCAAGAAGTTTATCATGGAAAAGTAATGTTTGTGCCAGCGGCCTTGGAAACCCCCGATCCTAAGATTAGAGGCCTTGGTGGATCTGACCCTAAGTAAACGTTGGTGACACAAGGCCCTTTTGAGCGTCCCGGTGCCCACTGTGATTCATCGCGTGACTCTGGTCTGGTTAGGGAAGTTGCTACAGTGGTTCATGCCACTGAGGTGAGGCCAGAGCTTTGCCAGAGAAGGACGGGGAGGTCCAGGTCTTCCCATGTTGCCATCCCGGAGGTGGCTTTCCAGACGCACTCTGGCTAGACTGGGAGACGCTCCCTGCCTAGGAAGGCAGTCGAGGATTGTAAGCACATTTTCAAGTTCTAGAGTCTCCGAAAGGTATTCTGTCCCTTGTCCGTTATCAAGAAGCTTCAGATGGAAGTAGGGAGGGCATACCCCAAGAGGCATGTCTGAAACGGAGTCTGCTCCCGCCACCTTGTTCTTCCTAGATGAGTACGTTGCCAGCTTGCACCTGCCATCATTTGATGCCCACCTGACAGAGCTGACGGATGACCAAGCAAAATATCTGGGACTCAACAAAAATGGGCCATTCAAACCCAATTATTACAGGTAACTTGGGGGAAAGCAAGTGAAAAAGCTCTTTTCCCCGATATTAAACCAAGCCGACTGCCAGCTTCCTTAACTAAAGCTAACGTCATACCTGATTTGGACGAGTTCAGGAACTCTGCCTGCACTAACAGGGTAGGCAGAGAAATGCTACATCTCTTAGCAAATGTAAAGAGTAAAGGTTTCCTAAAATTTTGGAGCTTGGGCCTCACCCCTAGGGACTCTGATACAGTTGGTCTGGGACGGGGCCGGGCTTGTTTTGTAAAAGCTCTCAGATTATTCTAATGTGCAGTCAGTGTTGAAAACCACTGACTCCTGTTATCAGGGAGCAGGAGATGAGACCAGAGATGGCATTGTCAGCAAAGGGTGGAAGCACAGGGAAGCGTGGTTCCTGGGGAGCGACTGCAGGGACCCAGCCTGGCCGGAGGGACCCAGCCTGGCCGGGAGGGACCCGGGCAGTGTGTCTGGTTCTGATTCTCCGGGACTCCCACGTGGAAGACACAGTGCCAAGTCTTCCATCTCTCTTTACAGATACTAATGGACCATGTGACCAAGGACCAGTCCACGTGAACCATACAACTCGACAAGAAATCTTTTTTAAATAACTTTTATTTTCTTCTTATTCCTTTCCTCTTGGTGTTTTTTTTTTCTTTCTGTAATTTCATTCTTGTTTTTTCATCTCATCATCCAAGTTCTGCAGACGACACAGGAACTTGCTTCATGGCTCTTTAGGTGAAACTGAGGTTCAGGGGTCCTCACCCTGTCAGAAAAGGAGGATTTTATTCTCCCAGCCCAGAAAGGGGGTCTTTCTTTACCATTTCTGGGGACTTTAGTCTTAACTGGGTACCTTACTCACAGGAAATGTAAGGTGCCTTCTAGGTGGAACAATCTGCAATGTCTAAATTGCCTTAAGAGCCCACTTCTTAGCTGCTGAATCAGTGCTCTTTGACTTCTTCAGAGGAGCAGGGAGGGGACCTACCAGCCAGGTAGGCCAGTCGTAGGTGGTGCATGTCAGTTCCCCCCTAGATGTCCCAGCCCTGTCTCCTGTGTGAGGTGGTGTGTCTGGTTCAGATACGTGCACAGTGAGTGTTGCTTGTTGAGATCCAATAGGCCCACGTGGATTAGTACAGCCCTTCCTCCACGCCCACCAGACTTTCTCATTTTTCACATTCTTAACCAGACTGCACTCTATTAAGTTGAATTCTGTCCCCCAGCATTTATTTCTGTTGTACCAAAAAAAAGTAAGACACATGTTTAGTGTTAACGCTGAGAAACAGCTTGGGTGGCTAGTTGGTATCAGTGTTTCTTTTAAAGCTTTGGCGCTAAGAGGGCAGAGTTGAGTCAAGAGCAATGTGGGTCTCAAACTCTGTTAAATCCCTGTTTCTAGCCCACAGTTTATAGCTTCGGCGGTCTGGGGCCATAACAGCCAATTCTCGCAGCTCTGCCCTATACAGCTTGTGCTGAAGGCGAATTTCTTGAACCGTTACTCAGTATAAAGCACTGAGCTCTATCTTTAGGATTTATCCCTCAAGAGCAAATTTCTGGTCAGCTATGCTTCTGCAACCTAACATATTTAAAGGGAGGTAGAGTGGGGGGAGGAAGGATATATCCACATTGGGCCACGGTGAGGGAAGGCCAGCCCCGGATAACTTTCTGGGACTTTAGGCCCCATAGAACATTAGTTTGCAGAAGTGGTACCACTTTTGATTGACAAGTGTCACAAAAACTTTCTGAACTAAGATCTTAAATGGGCAGCTTGTGCGGAGAGAAAGTGATCAGCCGCGCTGGCTCGCGCTCTGAACTCCCCAACGAGGCTCTCAAAGCCACAGAGCTGCATCCCTGTGCCGTGCATCTGCTCCAGCGTCTCTGCATGGTCATGTGAGCTTTAGGTCGCGCGCTTTAAGTATCTACGCCCCAGGACCCTGAATCCTCAACTCGCTCTAGCCTGTGACCCTTCAAAACTGGGCCAGGATTAGTGCGAGGTGCTAGGAATTGCCGTCTCTCGCGCCATTGATCAGAGAGACAGACATTAAAACAGGAATATCATACCAGGGGACAATGGTCTTGCCAAACTTTTTTCCTTTTCCTCTCCTGTTTCTTCCCACTCCTTGCCAGTGTGACCATGCTTGCTTCTCTGTAGATGTTAACGGTTCCAGCCCTTTCCCAGGGCATGTAACCAGCCAATCAGAACACCACATCCTTTAGGGGAAGTAACCTGGCCAACAGGGGTGTCCAGCTCTGCTGGAGGGAAGGGGCCCAGGTCCTACTGCCCTCTGGGCCACCCCTGCTCCCAGATCTATTACTGTGTCCATAGGAACAATAGGTAAGGGCTCCGTCTTTGTCAAGCCATGTAACAAGGACACTGTGGGGAAATGTCTGGCCCAGAGGGAGCGTGTGGAGAGCAACTTGGGAGGAGCAAGTTTATTTTGTACTGAGTGATTTTTAATGAATGCAATATTAATCCTTGCAGATGAGCAATAATCATTAAAGTCAATTAAAACGATAAGAACTTCTTGGAAGTCTGTGTCATTCTTGGTCGAACAGCAAAGCTTCATTAGAACCTGTTTTCTAGGCTGGGACCAGTCCTCTGATTGTTCTGGATCGTGGGCCAGAGGGCACTGACTTGGTGATCCTCTGACCTTGCTTACCCCTCACCCTGCTGAGCTTTAACCATGGCTCCATCTCAACCACCAGGTGGCACATTTTCTCACGTCTGGTTTGTCACACACGGTCTCTGGCCAAAAAATATAAGTCCACAACCCCTTTCTGAACCCCTGTGTTTTGAAATTGAGAGTATTTCTGATTGTTAGGAAATATACAAATATACAATATATTAGATAATACCTACTAGGGGAATGTGGAGGACCATTCCATATCAAGTGTGTGAATATTTCTTCAATTAAGTGTATTAAGTGTACAGAATAAGGAATAAATAACAAATAGCCACCCATCAGTTCAGATGAGGTTTTGCTGCCAAATTAATTTTTGCCAAACAGTAGGAAAAGTTTTTTGATTTTTAGAATTTTTTTTTAATTTTGGAGTTGTGGATAAAGGCTTGTAGCTCTCAAATAATTAGAGTTACATTCATGTGGTGGTGTGTGGCTCCATCCTATATGTCTTACACAATTAGCATACTTGATCCTCACAATCCCATGAGGTAGGTACTACTGTTATCCCCATTTTATAGATGGGAAAATTGAGACAGTAGGGTGAAGTAATTTGCCCAAAGGTACGCAACTCTTCACTTGGTAGAGCTGGAATTAACCCAGGTAGTCAGACTCCAAGATCCATGCTTCACACTGGCCAATATCGATTCTAGGAAACAGCCCCAAACCAGGTGCTAGTATCGAAGTTGGTTTAAAATATATTCCCAGATCCTGTGCTAGACCTGAAACTCAGGGCCGTGAGGAAGTTAAATATCTCTGCAGAGTAACCCTGCAGTTGATAGAGCTAGGATTTGACCCCAACGTCTTTCTGGCCCTCAGGGCCCTTCTCCTAAGTCACCTTAAGGCTCCCCAAGGGTACTTTCAGGATGTCACTTCTCAGCAAAATTCTTTTAGCAGAAGAAACGGTGTGGACAGGAAGACCCAAACTGCCGATGCCATGACTTTCTTCATGCTTCCTGAGTAGTCCTGACAACCCAGAGTGCCTGCTACCTCCTAGTGCACCACACTCTGCTTCCCAAAGCCAGAGCCCACTTACACTTCACCCACTCGTGGGCCCCAAGATTCACTGATGAGCAGTTGGGCCATTGTGCTCTGGATTTGGTTGGCATTTTTAAGGATACAGTTCAGGATCTATTACTAGAAGTGAAATTACTGAACCAAAATCTTCTCTATTCTAAATATAGCCAAAACAGCATAGGGTCTTTAAGGTCTGAACTCCCTGCCAGGTAACAGAGGTTGTGGTAGGTCAGTCTTAGAACTTGACTAAACTACAGTCATTATAACTAGACTAGAGGCCCGGTGCACAAAAATTTGTGCACTCGGAGGTAGGGGGTCCCTCAGCCCGGCCTGTGCCCTCTCGCAGTCTGGGACCCCCTCGGGGATGACCACTTGCTGGCTTAGGCCTGCTCCCCGGGGGATTGGGACTAAGCTGGCAATCAGACATCCCTCTGGCAGCCCGGCAGCCCTCGGGGGATGTCCACTTGCCAGCGGGGAGCAGACCTAAGCTGCAGTCGGACATCCTTAGCGCTGCTGAGGAGGCAGGAGAGGCTCCCACCACCACCGCTGTACTGGCAGACATCAGCCTGGCTTGTGGCTGAGCAGAGCTTCCCCTGTGTGAGTGCACTGACCACCAGAGGGCAGCTCCTGCATTGAGCATCTGCCCCCTGGTGGTCAGTGTGTGTCATACTGACCAGTCATTCCCAGTCTTTCTGCTGTTAGGGTCAGTTTGCGTATTACCCTTTTACTATATAGGATAGAGGCCTGGTACATGGGTGGGGTCTGGCTGGTTTGCCCTGAAGGGTGATCTGAATCAGGGTGGGGGTCCCGCTTGGGTGCCTGGCCAGCCTGGATGACGAGCTGATGGCTGATTACAGCTGGTCACACCCCTTTCAGGGTAGGGGTCCCACTGGGGTGCCTGGCCAGTCTGGGTGAGGGGCTGAGGGCCGTTTTCAGGCTGGCGGAAGACTGAAGCTCCCAGCCTCTTTTTTTTTCTTCTTTTTTTTATTCTGGGATTTATTTACCTTCTATAGCTATCACTGGAGCTAAGAGCCGGCTCCAGCTCTGAGGCTGTGGCTGGCTGAAAGCAGGTATCTGGGTTTGTTTAGCTTCTATAATTGAAACTCTGTTGCCATCACTGGTGCTCTAAGCTCTGAGCCCGCTGTCAGCTGAAAGCAGGTTTCTGGGTTGGTTTAGCTTCTATAATTGCAACATTGTTGCATCCGGAGCTCAGAGCTGAGCCGCAGCAGGCGGGGAACCTTGGCTTCCTCCATCACTGGAGCAAGCAAGCCTCATGTTCGCTTTAGCTGCGTGGCTGCCAGCCGCCATCTTGGCTGGCAGTTAATTTGCATATCTTGCTGATTAGCCAATGGGAAGGGTAGCGAAGTTACGGTTAATTACCATGCTTCTCTATTATTAGATAGGATGTCAGTTGTGTGTGGGTTGTGTGGGATTTGCTGACTTTATCTGAGAAGCCTCAGCATTGGTCCTTTCCCTGCAAATTCCTTAGTTTTTCCAATGAACTTGGTCCAGCCCAGCTGGGATGAAATACGTATTTACATGAAAGAACCTACTAGGAGGGACCCAGGCAGAAATACAAAAGTTGCATCACAGAGACTTTCCAGGAATTGAGCTGGGGGTGTGGAGAGCCAAGAAAGATGAGGTTCTGGAGAGACAGATGGATAGAGTGCCTTGAAGGACTTCACAGCACAGTAATGCAGATACTACACGTCACCGCTAAGAGGTCCAATGAGCATCTCAAACTGGACATGTCCAAACAGAAATTTTGATGTTCCCCATAAACCAGTTTTTTTTCCCAGATTTCCCTATTTTTATAAGCAACACAACCACACACTCAGTTTCTCAAGCCAAAAATCTAGCACTCATTCTTTCTTCCTCTCTCCAGCCTCTGAGCGTCCTGTCACATCTACCTACACAATATAGAAATATAGCAACCCAGTGCTCCACCCCATGCAAACCACCATCATTTCCATCTGTAATCGCCTCACCTGTCAACAACCTCGTCCACTCTTGCAGCTCTTCAATCTCTTCTCCAAAAGACATCAGACCACAACACCTCCCCGGTAACACCTCCACCGGCTTCCCATTTCACTTAGAATGAATTTCAAACGCCTTTCCATGCCCTGCAAGGCCCCACCATACCCTGGCCTTCCCTCCTGCAAGACTTCCCGGCTCATTCATTCCTGTCCCTAACCTCAGGCCTCTCTCTCTCTCTCTCTCTCTCTCTCTCTCTCTCTCCCCTCTCATTCAAGATCTCACCCTGGGCTTCCCCTCCCTGGGCCCCCTCGCTCATCACCGCTGCTTTGGTTTCTTCCCTGCACCCATTTTTCTAACATCTATCTGTGCTCGTTGTCTCCTACAGGCACTATGTGGTGCAATTAACCGAGTATAAAGGAGATATTAAAAGTGTTTGTCAAATAAATGATAAATGAGTGCTTGTCACAGCTCTGTTTTATTGATTCATTTAACATATCAACCCCTTGTGAAGTAAACTCCCTGGAGGCTGGGAACATGTTCCTTTTGTGCACTATGTCCCCCTAAGCGCTGAACAGGAGTGTAAAAGTGACAAATGCAACGAAAGCCATGTTAAAGGAAGTTGGGGGACAACTGAAATGACTGAAGGAACTGAGGGATAAAAGGACACCGAAGCCGGGACTGAAATAAGTGGAAACCAGAAGGACCGAATAAAGTGAGGCGTCAGGCAGAGGGAATCTCGCGAGGTGTTGGGCAGCCAAGATGGCGGCGGCCCCTGCCGCCACACCTAATATGGCGGCCGGGGAGCGTTCCTGGGAGAAATCTCGCGAGAGTGGCACCTCGGCTCCTGTGCGGGAATGGAGCCGGGGGGGTGGAACAGAAAGATAGAGCCCGCAGCCGGAGTCCCCGCCTGGCTGATCATGATAACAG